TATATATATATATATATATATATATTTAAAAGTTTACATTATCACTGTTAATATAATATTATAGGATCTTAAATTGTTTTTTGTGAACGCGCTTTGAGAGTTTGGGATTGAGTGAAGGAGAAGATAAGAGAGAAGGAAAATAGCCTCTAAATGGTAATCTATTGAGCGAGTCGGTGAATTACTCTGCTGAACATGAGTGATGATCGAGCGATGGATTACTCTGCCGAGGCTTCTGGTCGAATGTAAATTTCATCGGGCGTGATAAAGGCATGTTAATCAATCAGTCGCGATCAAGCATTTTTTGCTTGCGTTCCGGTTGATCGAGACATTCGATGTGACGCGCTGCTTGAATCTCTCGACGTAATGTGTCGGTTGATTCCTGATCATGCAGTAGTATATAGTAGTATAATATATGACACCTTCGTTGTTTGGCCATCACTTGAGCTATCTGAATATTTTTAGATTTATGCTAACAGCTCTAGTGTTTACTAGAAAATACAAAACCTTATATATATACTCTCTATTATCATTAACGAGTAAGGAGCCACGAGTTGCTCTTTCAATCAATATATAAATATATATATATATATATATATATATATATATATATAATTTTGACCCTCAATTATTGAACTAAGGTAAAAGGACACTTTTGTAATGTGGTACCGCTCACCTACCGCTCACATACCTTCCACCTACTATTCTCTTGCTTCTATAAATAGAGAGAGTGTGAGGCTTATGAGAGAAAGGGAAGAGATCTTAAGTTACCACAGAGGATGAGAGAATAGCTAGAAAGCTAGAGAGGAGGAGAGCATCTTGAGGCCTTGTATCAAGGAGTCGCTTGAGAGGGAGGCCATAGAAGGAAGATGAAGGCCCATCTCTATGTATAAGCTATGTATTCTCCATTTCTTTTGCCTTAGTGAACTATTTGATTGATTCCCTCCCGTGGACATAAATCCAGTTAGATCGAACCACGTAAATGATCTGTGTTTGCTTGTGTTCTTTGCGTTTATGCTCTATGCCAGGAAGTACATATCTCACAACAATTGGTGTCGTCTGTGGGAAGATCCATACTTCTTGGCTAGAGGTGTCCGTGTAAAGGTATTCGCAGCCAGCGATCGCGACCAGGGACGAAGAAGAGGAGTTCGACATTCACGAATAGAGGAGCAAGCGAATCGCGTCGCAGACAGCCCAATCGCGACAGATTCAGTGAGCAGTGGAAGCTTTGATCGATTGGATTCGCACCGCAGGTTGTGCGGTTCGACGAGACGGAGGAGGAACAATCCGCGAGCGAGGGCCGAAAATTTACGACATGGCTGCCAGTAGAGGATTTCGGAGCAGGAGTTTGGTTTTGCGAGCAGCTTGGCCAAAGGGAAGAGGCGGAGATCGCACAGAGAAGGGCTCGGGGAGTTCCCTGTTCGGGAGTTCGCTAAGTAAGAGGACCTGATCAGTTTGGTGAGGCGCGACGACACTGGAGAGACAATTATTCTCATGCGAGAGGCAGAGGAGGAATTTCTGATTTCCTTCGTTGGATGCAGAAGAGTGCCCGCGGGAAGGAGGCGCGAGAACAGAACATGAAGTTTTCTCAGGTGAATAGGCGTGATCTCTGCCCGAAGGGATCAGAGCTCTCCATTCGGTTGGCGAAGGCAGTGGAGTTCATGGGGAGAAGGTAAGAAATTTGGTGAGAATTTCTTGGACAGCAAGACATTAAAAGGCATGTTTAGGCTGAAAACTTTTGGTTACTATACAATAGTACAACATTTTGGTGATTTCAGCCTAGTTCTTGGAAGGGCAGCAGGTAGAATTCATTGGAAGAAATCCAAGCCACGACAATGAGTTCCGCCAAATTCGCATTGAGAAATTCAACGAGAAGAATGACAACGACTTTTGATATGCTTAAAATACAAGATAAATATGGACGTAATGAATATTCAATAATTGTAAAGTCACACTTATCAACACAAGTATACGTATCGCTCAAGTAATATAGGGCTCTAATGGAGTCCTATATATCGATCCCACATTGAGTGGTTAGGACTGCAGACTAAGAGGAACTAAGATTTTAGAAAACCAATACTTTAATCACAACAACGAAGTTCAATTTGCTTATCTAACACTAATAGACAATTGAAATAAATAGATGATTTTAATAACTATTAAATAACTAATGATACTAAGAAGGGTTTAATTGTGATATTCAATATTTAAGAAAGCATCATTCTCCTTGTTAAGAAATTATAGTGAATTAGTTCAATTTAGATTGTGTCAAATAGAAAAATACCTATTCTTTACCCTTTGGTCCAGACATAAAGAACATTGACTAATCCTATGCTGGGATGATACCGGCTCTCACTTTGGAGCTCCCACATTCCCCTCACCTGAGGGCTAACATCTACACTTCAGCACCTAAACGATAGAACCGAATTGGGGATTTTAGTCTGTTACTCTAAAATCTCCAATTCTACGCCCGATAATATTATTTCCCTATTTATTTGCACCAAACATCTAAAAGCTTTGACCTCCCTGAATCTTGCATGTAATCTTCACTTTAGTTGTAAAACTCAACATATTTTAACAAATCAATTAGCCAGATTGAAAGTAAATTAAGATTGAAGTGAAAAGATCATCATAATTTCTTAAACATTTTCATTGCTCCACCAATTCAAATCACCATTTCACAAATCTCGAGACAAGGAGAAAGACAGAGAAAACTACTCAGATCTCATAGGAAAAACACAACAAAACTCAAAATTCATATATAAAATCAAAGTCATACAAACTACAATAAGTAAATAACTTATCTCTAATTTCTTCCCAAGAACACTCCTCAAAGTTCCTCTGAATCTCTTC